AAAGAGAGTTTGGAAAAACATAAAAATACCCGTCAGAATCTTACATTAAAATCCAGTACCAAGAAATGGCATAGTCTTCAAATATTTTTACTCCAATTGATCTTGCATCCAGGACATTATTGATGCCGCTGAGAAAACACAAACCAGAGAAAAGGTTGCTTTAGATAGGAAAGCAAAATTTATTTAAACAACCAATAGGCACAGCGAGGGACTTTGAAATATCTTCGCTAGTGATGAGTATGTAACCATCCTCCAGCTCCATAACCAAGCCAGCACCAACCACAGTTACACCAAATCAAAACAACCATAAAAACGCCCATACAGCTCCTGAAAAAGCTCTATTGAAAAAGCTTCATGAGTACTCGCTCTCGCCAGAGAGACCTCATCATTATGTCACAAGTGTATGCTGTTCAGACCGGCAGTGTACCAAGAGCCAAACAGTTGTGACTCCAGAACTGCTAATAGCAGAGAAGCAGAAAACAGCTCAGTGAAGCAAAAGGAGGACTTCTTGCAGCTGTTTTCCTATCCTGCAAAGTGCTTGCCCATATTGATGTTTTCCTAGGAGGAAATGAAGGATCTTCTTATCAAAGAACAAACAATGTAATTGTAGAGGCCAGAAGAAGAAAACTTCGTAAGATGTGGGTGTTACCAGTGCTGGTAAGGTGCTAGAATGTGCTAGGCTCAGATTGAGAGGTAACAAAAGGTACCCCTGTGCTCCAAACAGGCTGAGGATGGAGAGCAGCTGGAAAAGGGAGGCTATTGCAGCGCTCTTCTCTCATCCTGGTTGGTACCCAGGGTTGGAGATGCTTGCTGTCCACCTGCAAGGGAGGTGCTGTCCAGCATCAGAGTCCAGGACATTGCCTTTTGACCTTTAGACATGTGCTAAAAACAGGAGCACACTGACGAGGTGAGAAGTCAAAGTACTAGGACAGCCCATGTCAGTAGAAAGGCTGTTGTAGGAAGGAAGAGCTGAGGCCATCGCTGGCTGGCCCGAGTCCTGCTGCATGAGGATTTCATCTGGAACCTCCTTTAACTTTCCTTGGTACTAATTTTTGCTAGAAAAACCAAGTAGAATGTTTTAAAAACTGACAGTCATTCTGAGGCAGACTAAAGCTTTTGCCTCCTTGCTCATTGCTGCAGACCAGAGTTGCTGGTTTTCCTTACGGGAACTCTGCAAGTGCTCAGGCACAGAAACCATCTATTAGCAAGTCTTGTCTGGGTGCCCTCAGCCATTTTCTGCAATGGATTCTGATCATTTCTTTTCGATTCCTGTATTATTTCACAGTCTCAGAATCCAACAAACAAGCACTTAAGAAGGGTAAAACCTACTTTGCAGCTTCCCTGAGATCGGTTACATTTCTTGTTTTCCCTCTTCCATCTTTGAACGTAGTCTGATTTGCCACAGTCAGCACACCATTCTTCGTGGAGAAGTCTGGGAAGCATCTCTTAAGAACTATTCAAAACACCAAAAGAAAGCAGAAGTGTTACACCTCATGTTGAGCTCCACTTTTGCCACTTGCCTTTTGTAACGGATTTAAACAATTTCAGAGTCAAGGTCAATTGTTTTTCATCTGATTCTCTAATGGAATGTTGACTTTCACAAGTCTTGCAAGAGCCATTCTATTCAAAATTAGGACTTTCTGTCCCAGCTCAGGCATGGTGGGATCACAGCTTTCACCTGGAGATTCTAGGTGCTACCCAATAACAACAGTAGTACCTGTAGCAGTTGAAGAATTTGTCAGAAATGCAGAACTTATTCTCTGTCAGTACCTGGGCAGCTTACGAAAACTGTGGCTTCTCAAATATGTCATTTCATGGTAATAATCAAACCAGCCCCCAGGGACAGACTCAACATCACTGGTCACGAATGGTATTAGCACCCAAAACAATACATAACAGCAAGTGTCAGTTCCTCATATGCCAGGTGAGCTCCAGTACTAGCACTAGACATTCTTGGAGAGGAAGCAACAGAAAAAAGACAGAAACTATTAGCTATACAGAGGGGGGAGGAGGTTAGAGAAGTGACACAGACAGATGTTTACATACTCATTTATGTTGCCCTGCTCTCTGCTGCATGAAGTCCTTGTTTTCATTCCAAAGGGAAGAGCAGCTCAGTCCTCCTACACAGCTGTACTTCACCTTTAACAGTTCTGTACATTCCTTATCAGGTTCCAATGAGCACTGATGCCTGTGCTCAAGATTCAGTCTGGAATATCTACTCCCCTCCCCAGTTAGGCTCAGGAAATAATAAAGTAACATGTCTCTTGTCCTCCCTCTGTAATACTCACCTCTTGCTGTAGTCTGAAAGAAGATAATAGCTTCTTCGCAAATGATTTTCTGTCTTTTGGGTCAGTACAGCATTTTTCATACACATTTTTAATTTTTTATCATTTAATTCATTATTTTCTCTTTTTGACAGCCTGTGCCTTGTTTACAAGATCTCTATTTTAAAGCACAGAAAAATAAACAGCAGTTCCTTCTTTGCATGAGCTTCTAGGTCAGTGACAGACACTCTTGAGCTCTGACACCTGTGGTTATCTAGTCAGAAACACCTGCTCACCATAGTGACAAAACCAGGTTTTTGTCCCCTTAATTCTTCTGCCTCCCTGCACAGCCAGCACTATGTGCAGCACTGAGAAGCAAGCTGCACTGTAACTGGGCTCAAGTACCACCTGACCTTCAACAGCTGCCCAGATGAGCATTCCTCCATTCGTGGCATTTCCTTCATGCCAACAGGTTGGGTTGGGTTGAGCACTCACATGTTTTGGAAGGCACAATTTGTGCTGTAAAGCTTTTGTTATCAGTGATGATTCAAGAGCAAGAAAGAAAGAGCGCAGCTTGACCCAAGCACACTCTGACTGTCCATGGAGGGCACTCAGAAAAAATAACAATAAATCTTGATACTTTCAAGCTGTTTAAAATTGAATGGATGCCACTGCCAGGTAACAGTCAGCTCCTCGTGATCTTGCCACAAAACACTTTTCAGACTGGAGTTGTGCTTTCATGTGAACACTTACAATCTCTAAGAGGTGTGTAAGAAATAGAACCACTCACAAGGCCTGCTTGGAATGATCATTGAAGGACAATCTTCATCACGTAGGACTTGAGCAACAGACTAAAAAGGAGAAAAACAGGAATGCTGAATACATAGCAGAATAACTACATGGGTTTTGTTTCTCACCCAGTCTGAGAAAACGCCCCAAACTGGACTTTGTAGCCTCCTCCCCAAACTTGACTGGTGGAGCTGCAAGATACATTCATGATGTGAGAATCCAACCTCTCGATGTGATTTGGGAAAGGATTATTCTTTACTTTTCTCGTGACAAAAAAGAAAAGACCTGTTCACTTTGGATCGGCGGGTAAGGCAGCAATGACCGGGCAATAGTTACTTGCCTCCCCCTCACTTTTCTCTTAAAGAAGAGTAAGAATTCAACACAACTAACAGAGCTCAACTGCAAGGTGGTTTAGAGATGGGAGAAATAACAAAGTTCAGTTGAGTACAAAATCAGTTACATGAAAGACATATTTCTTTTCCTAGCTAAATTGCTGAGGAGCTCTAGATAACTCAGGAGCCTTAAGAAGTGGTTTGAGACACTGCTCTACTGCTGTGGAGTACTTAAGTACTAAACGATCCTTGCCGCAGTACTCCAACCACAGGGGTAGCTGCAGATACTCTTTAAGCAAACAGCAATCATTTAATGGGTTAGGGATTTGATGTGCATACAAGTCCTTCGTCCCTGATTAAATCACTGCCAAAGCATATGTATGGGACAGCTCCTTCTATGGTGAAATCAGAATAATTCAAAGTTTTGCTGTAGCTCAGTAAAATCATGCGTATTACACGTTCCTTGAAAGAAAAAAAAGGATCCCATCACCTCCTGATACATACAGACCTTGCGAGGATTGTTAAAACCAGGTTTGCAGAACTGCTTGAAGTAATTCCACTGATCAGGTTTGTATCTGTAGGAAGCCTGAACATCAATGTAGGTCACAAACCTGTCTGGGCACTTTGAGACACAAAGCTGCAAGAAAAGAAGACACGCTGAGGGTAGAGAAGGGGAAGGCAAGTCAGTGCAACCAAAAAGCAAGAAAAAAGGCCACCTGTCAAAGTGCCCTGGTTTATGGAATTGCCTTCAGCAACGTTTGCTGCAGCATTAGGAAAGGGACACAATGCACTCGTGATTTCTGCGGTGAGTGCTTCTAAACTGCTTTGGTAAATACTTTCAAGTCTCTCCCCTTATCTGGCACATCAAGCACAGCCTGTATCTCCGTCGGCTCTGCACATCCTGGTGGATCTGCAGAGCTTCCAGGCTGCTGGGAAAAAAAACAACTTTTTTTTTACCAGCAGGAAAACCCATCTGCCAGGTCCTCCTCTGCTCCCCTCAG